GGGGGCGGGGGGGACTCGGAGGGACCGACCACTTTGCCGTCTGCTCACCTGGCTCCTCCAGGAACCCTGACTTGTCATCTGCCCTCTCCCTCTTAGAGTCATGGTGCCACCATGAGGCATCTCCCTGAGGATCATGGGACCCGCTTGCTGTGACTGCTCCAGGGCTGAGCGAATTGGAGGAGGGAAAGGTTAAGGTCATGGTGGGGGGGGGCGCCAGGAAGTCTGCCAAAAAGACTGTAAGTAGCCGGAGAGGGGGTCCATCATGAAGACCCCCCGTGTGAGGCCCAGCCAAGCCCAGAGGAGGCCCATGAACCAGGTGGTAGGGCCCGTTTTAAAAAAGCAGCAGCTGGTCCCACGTAAACGGAGTTGAACTCAGAGCCGGCAGACGTGTGTCGCTGAGCGGTGTGGACTCGCCAGCTCCCGCCAGCTCCGTCAACCGTAAAGTGAGGGCTCACGGATACGCAGGAAGGGCCACCACGAGGACCCAGTGAGCGTGGGAGGCTGCGGCCGGGATCTGGCTCTGCCCAGAGCGTGGTGGCAGGTGAGGACCCTGCGGGCCCTTTCCCGCTTCGCGCCCCACCCTGCCCCAAGTCGCCCGCTGTACTTACAGGCCACCTGGACCTCGGTTTGCCGCTGCAGCAGGGCGCCCATCCGGTTACGCACGATGCAGCGGTAGAAGCCCGCGTGGGTGCGGTCCAGGCTGGTGATCATGTACCTGGGGGGAGATGAGACAGCCAATGAGCGAGTCAGGCAGGTGCAGGGATGTGCCCGTCAGATGGGATCGAGGGCAAAGTCGCCAGGTCAGCCTCTTCCTGAATGAAAAGTACCAGGGGGAGTTCTGGATCCTCTGGCCAGGTCTTGGAGTCAGAAAGGGCCTCGTCAACAGCAAAGTCCCTCCCAAAGGCAACCAGACTTTTGCTCAGGTGCCTAGGAAGGAGTCTGCATTTTCCCAAGGACAGGAGGTGCTACGCCTAAGCCCTTGACCCTGGCTGTGACCAGGCCTCCCACCGGGAGACGTCAGGGATGCGGGAGGTTGCCGTCCTCCCTTGCCTGTCCCTGGGCAACGAATGGCCCAGTGGGAACCTCAGAGGATCAAGGGGCTTGTGCCTAGAACATCTCCATCCTTGCGTGTCCTAAGGTTTACCCAGACTCGGTGGACAAGCTCATTGTCCCTTGTCCTCGGGATATGCCAGTGCTGGCACGGACCAGTAACGCTTAAAAAAATGGGGTTGATATAAAACTGTCAAGTTTTTACTTTGCCAAGTAAGATCATTAAAACCAACCAACCAAAAAGCAAACAGACAAACAATCAACCAACCAGAAACCCAAAAAAAGCAAGCAAGAAAAAAAAAAAAAAAGATAATATTAAAAAGTGCCAGGTTGGGGGAGAAAAATACATAGAACTGGTCAGCATTTTCTCTGAAAGGGACATTTTGAGGTCATCGAGAAGAAATGTAATCTCAGCATAAAAGCAATTTTAACAAATTTTAAACTTAAATCTTACGCAAAGCCCGCTAGCTTCACACTCCTTGTCGTATGTGAACAGAGGCACCGAGCTGTGGGTCTACATTCGAGTGTCGTTCACTTAATCCTATGGAGGGGGTACTTTTACCGGCACCCCCATTTTACAGGTGGGGAAACTGAGGTTCAGAAGTGTTTCATCACTGATAGGCAGTCTCACAGGTGCTAAGAGGCAGGGCCAGGGTCCCACAGAGCCTGCCCGACTCTAAGCTCAGCTGTAAGCCAGTTCAACATGGACACCATATTCCAAGGGGCCCCCCCTTCCATCCGGGGACTGCACGAGCCCCAGACTCACAGATGGGTAGGTGCCGAGCTCGCTCTGGCTCTGGCTGTGGCTCTGCAGCACGATTCAGAACCTTCTGGCTGTCCAAGCCTCTTATCTCTGCCACCGGCTGCCGTTCTTATCTGTCCCTCGCTACTGTGCACGGAGAGGTGATGGGGAGATATCAGGCGCCCAGGCTCTGGCAAATTCCCCGTTCTCCTTCCACCCTGTCCTCAAGCCCATCACACTCTTGCTCGCCTCTGCTGCGGGGAGGGGAGACAGCTTTGGGCAAACCGTTTGGGTCTCGAAAACGATGGGGTGACCTGAGAAGAAAGATGGAAGGCGAGATTGGCTGGAAGAGCTCTCTATCTTTGAAAATGGAATCAGATATTATTTAAAAGGCTCCAGGGAGAGGAAAATGAACAGAAATGGCCAGCAAGCTAACAAAAAGATGCTCAACCTCTGTCACAATGAAAGTCCAATCAAAACAAGACAGCATTCACATATCAGACGGCCAGAGACTCTCATGCTTGATCACGTGCAAGGCTGTCAAGAGTGGGGGGCGGGGAGGTGTACCCTCAGATTGGCCGGTGCAAGTGCAGAGTGGCCCAGCCTTTAGGGCAAAATCTATCAAGATGAGAACAGGCAAAGCACCGAGAGCTGGCCCTTTAGATATACTGCAAAAATGTGGCAAAAAACAGGTATGAGGATGTTCACAGTGGCATTGCTTATAATGGCAGAGATAACCACGCAATCAGAAGCACCCTAAATGTCCATCAACAATGAATGGATCAGTTAACGAGTTAACGATGCTGCAGCCGGGGAATAAGCAAGAACAGAGATCATAAGCAAGAGACAGAATGGTGTCCGACTCGCACAGAGCGTGGAAAGGACGTCGAAGCTGCAGAGGGGGAGATGTTTATGGAACTCACAACACGAGGAAGGAAGAAGTCCATCAGTGTCACGGCTGAGTGCTAGGGACAAGGGTAGTATTGGATGGTTGCCACTCTTGGTAAGCTGTTGTTCACGGACACAGGCTACCAAACCCTCAGTTTAATGTTTAGCATCATGCACATTGACCCAATAAAAATAATTTTAGTTTGTGGACCAAAAAAAAAAAAAAAAAGAATAGTGTAAATGGTACAATACCATGTGGGTAAATGAAATTTGCATATATTTGGATACATGGGATCACGAGTACATACATTGTATATATGTGCATATACTTGGTACATGGACATAAGCTTTGGAGACGGATATGTGTTCTCTCCCTTTTGAGAGCAGTGCTGGGGAGGGGGAGAGAGGGAAACTTCTACTTCCCCATTTTATGTCTTTCGACGCCACCGGAATTTTCTTTATCGTACGCATATATTGCTTTTATCTTAAAAATAAAATGTAAAAACGCACTTTGAGCATATAATTTAAGGATACATTATAAAAAAGACACCAGGGACTCATTGGATGTGGGTTTGTTTGCTGATGTCAGTGATGCGTAGTGAAATTTAAACTTTAATGGAAGTGGATTTCTGCAGAAGGCTCTGTGTCCGTTTGCTTCCTCCGGGAGCCCCCAGGGCCCAGGGAAGGTCAACTGGCGGCAGGCCTGCCCCTCCCCCGAGGCCAGAAGAGGAGCACTGGCCCTCGACCTCCCTCTTGGTCCCTCTGTAGTTGAGGCCACGATCCCTGGCCCCTGCGGAGTGGGGCGCATTGTGCCTCCTCTCCATCCTGCAGCTTCCTTCTCCTCCCGCCCGGGGGACCTATTTCTGGCTGGTTGGCAACATTATTTAAAGTAACAGTTCCGCCCACTGCCTTTCCTACCAGGGAAACCCGCTCCACTCCACCCCAGTTCCAGCTCCCGGTCCCCCTGCCTCCCAGGCTCCCAGGAGGGTGGACGAGGCTGGCCAGCATCTCAGCACGCGAATCCAGCGTGCTGGATGGTACGTAGCCTTGACAATGACAGTGGCAGTGCCCGCTGTCCCCAAAATGCTCCCTCCTGGGCCCTCGGGAGACACGACGCCCACAGCTCCGTCTATCCCACCCACTTGCTGCCGCTGGCCTGGCAGGAAGTGGATGAGCCCAGCCCTGTCCAGGAACAGGGGGATGGGCGGAATGCCCTGTCTAGGACGGCCCACATCTGATCTCCTCTCAAGGGAAGCATGGCGTTGAAGAGAGCACCAGAGCTTCTGACTCAGGGAAATGTAGGTCTGACTTGCCCCTCTGCTCTTTCTTTTTTAGGTTTATTTATTTTGAGAGGAGAGCAGGGGAGGGACAGAGAGAGAATCCCAAGCAGGCTCTGCACCGTGAGGGCACAGCCCAACTCAGGGGCTCAAACTCACCAACTGGTGAGATCATGACCTGAGTCAAAATCAAGAGTCAGACGCGGGGTACCCAGGTGTTAAGCGTGTGACTTCGGCTCAGGTCACGATCTTACCGCTCTCTTGGGTTTGAGCCCCGCGTCAGGCTCCGTACTGACGGCTGATGGCCTGGAGCCTGCTTTGGATTCTGTGTCTCCCTCTCTCTCTCTCTGCCCCTCCCCTGCTTGCGCTTTCTCTCTCTCAAAAATAAACATGAAAAAATTGGAAAAAAAAAAAAAAAGAGTCAGACGCTTAACCGACTGAGCCACCCAAGCGCCCCACCTCTCTGCTCCTTCTTAAGAATGTGTGCTGAGCAAGTTCTGGAACCTTGCGAGCCTCAGTTTTCCCATCTGTAAAATGGGGACAACGATGGCCGACTTTGATGGGCTCCTTATAAGAGGCCCCAGACATAATTGCCAGGCATATGGCAGGTGTACTAATGCTCGTCAAATGGGGGAGCAGGTGTATGAGTCACTGGTGGGGAGTGGAAGGTATGGGGTGAGGTGGAGAGGTTCCGGGAGGGAGACAAGGAGGGTGTTGCAGAAACCCCCCACCGGGGGGCTCCCCACCAAGCATCAGGAGAGCACAGATTCCCTTGTCCGGCAAATTCTTTGGCTTCGCCCATGGACGTGTGAACCCCAACTGTCCCCAGCTGCCCATGAAGGATCTGTCATGCCCCCTTGGTCACCTAATCCTCTTTACTGGTAGAGGGGCTACACCTCAGTCCCTCGGCTGCCAGTGGAGGATGTGACCTCCTTTTCTGCCTCCTCGGGACACCGAGGACAGTGAGAGAATGACAGCTCCCCTTCCAAACGCCGTTCCTCTCAGCCTCCTGACCCCAGTGAGGTTCTTGCCACCAGCCTGACCTCCCAGCCTCCCGGTCACCTCTGTTTGTGTCCTCTGGGTTGGGGGACCTGAGCCTGGTTCCTCTGGGGATGAACAGCAGGGAGTAGGTAAGTGGCATCCCTTCTTGGCTGACCTGCCAAACTTCATTCTCCCTCCCATCATGACAAAGAGTGGCAGGTACGTGGCTCCAGGGGCCGGAGAAGACCTGGAATCAGCCACCTCGAAGGACCACTTATTTATTGGTTTATTATAGGACATACGTGCCCAGGATTCAGAATTCAACGAATAAAAGAAAAGGCACACCGGAAATGTCTCTCTCCTCTGTGTTCCCCAGCTGCCCATGGCTCCCAGCTCCGCACATGCACAACCATAGCCACTAATTTCTCGGGCACCTGTCCGGAACGTTGTCATGCAATTACAAGCAAATGCCAACCCACGATCCTTCCCCTTTCCAGCAGGAGACTCGGCCTCCAGCAGGCTGTTTAGCTCCTTGCTTTGTGCATGTGACGAGATCTTTCCGTAGTAACCGCACTCGGAGCTTCCTCAGGCTTCCTGACAGTGGCCGAGCGGCAAGTGGCGAGGAAGCTTTGCCTTGTCCCAGTCGGATGGTCAAGGGGAGCAGGCGGGGGAGAGAGGGCCTTGGGGCAGGGCTGGGGTGGAAAGAAAGGACGATGCAGTACGAATCCACATGGTTCTTCTTGCCCCTCCGAGTGTCCTGACTTGCTTGGCCCGTGG